ATCATTAGCAAGTCCAAACCTGTTTTCAGCATTTACATGGGAGGTTGGATCTAATCCACTCTCTAGCGACCACTTCCCAATATTTCTAAAATATCGAGGCAGAGAAAGCTGTGAAACAGCCCGTCCACCACGCTGGAAACTGGAAACGGCAGATTGGCCTGCATTCTCCTCTATGGCTAACATCACTGAGGAAATGGCCAATACTGCTGATATCAATGATGCAGTTGAAGTTGTCACTTCTACTATTATTCAGGCAGCGGAAAAAACAATGGGGAAAACATCAACTAGATATCCAAAGCATCCGAAACCATGGTGGAATCCGAATTGCGAGGCAGCATTTAAAGCACAAAAGAAAGCATGGGGAATTTTTAGAAGATACCCCACTGCTAGAAATTTGATAGCTTTTAAAAAAGCGAAGGCAAATGCCAGAAGAATAAGAAGGCAAAGCCAAAGGGATTCTTGGAGGAAGTATGTTTCTAGCATAACATCTTCCACTAGCTCAAAAGCAGTCTGGGATAAAATTCATAAAATCAATGGGAAATATGCTTCTCACTCTCTGTCCATGCTGGAAAATAATGGCACAATAATCAGCAATATACAGGGTATTGCTGATACGTTGGGTGAAACGTTTTCTACTTCATCTAGCAATATTATGTATTCAAGAAATTTTCAGGCTTATAAAGCCCAAAGAGAAAAACAGTGTTTAAACTTTCATTCCTTATCTAATGAGGAATATAATGTGCCATTCACTAGAATTGAATTACAAACAGCGCTCTCTCGCTCGAGGAATAGTGCTGTAGGCCCAGATAAAATCCACTACAGCATGATTAAAAATCTGTCAAACAGTTCCCTTTCTAATCTCTTGCACCTGTTTAACAGAATATGGACAGAAAATAATTTCCCTGACTCTTGGAGATTATCAATTATTATCCCTATTCCAAAACCTGGTAAAGACCGCAAGAATCCCTCTAATTACAGACCAATCTCTCTGACAAGTTGCCTGTGTAAACTTTTTGAGAGGATGATAAACAGACGTCTGATGTATCTCTTAGAGGAAAAGAACTACTTTTCACCACATCAGAGTGGATTTCGTAGGAACAGAAGTACCACGGATAATCTAGTAAAACTTGAAACATCCATACGCGAAGCGTTTGTTAGACGACAACACTTAGTGTCTGTATTCTTTGATATAGAGAAGGCCTATGATCGCTGCTGGCGTTACGGAATACTTCGTGATCTACATGAATTCGGATTGCGGGGTAATTTGCCAATTTTTATAAAAAACTTTTTGCAGAATCGAAGATTCCAAGTCAGGATGGGCAACACTCTATCTAGGTCTTTTGTCCAAGAAGAAGGTGTTCCTCAAGGATGTATTTTGAGTGTGACTCTGTTCCTAATTAAAATTAATAGCATAGCTAAGTGTCTTCCTCCCAGTGTGAAACACTCTTTGTATGTGGATGACTTTCAGATCTCCTGCCAGTCTAGCAACATGAGTTTCATTGAGAGACAACTGCAAACCTCCCTAAATCGAATAGACAATTGGTCCAAGATTAATGGTTTTAGTTTCAACATAGAGAAGACCTCGTGCATCCACTTCTGCCGAAGGCGTGGTTTGCACCTGGATCCTGAAATATATTTAAATGGGGTTAAAATCCCAATTGTGAATGAGGCTAAGTTTTTGGGTGTTTGTTTTGACCAAAAACTGACATTTTTGCCACACTTGCGCAACCTGAAGAGTAGATGTTTAAAATCTCTCAACCTTATAAAGGTATTAAGCTGCTCATCCTGGGGAGCAGACAAAGTTTCTATGCTCAGGATTTATAGGGCCCTTGTTCGCTCTAAGCTGGACTATGGGTGCATTGTTTATGGCTCTGCGCGAGAATCTACTCTTCGGATGCTGGATCCAATCCATCATCAAGCTTTGCGTTTGTGCACTGGTGCATTCCGAACTTCCCCCGTCCAAAGTTTGTACGTGGATGCTTATGAGCCTCCACTGTCACTCAGGAGAGAACAGTTGTCTCTTTTTTATTATCTAAAACAGAAATCTTATACTAAACCTTCAGTTGATTGTACAGTATCAGATACTCAGCTGAAAAGGTTATTTGAAGCTCGCCCAAGCAGTGTCCCTACGTTCGTCATAAGAATGGAGAATGTAAGCAGCACGATCGACCTGAACATAAGCAACGTTTCACAGGCCGAGATTGATAGTACGCCACCCTGGTCTACTCCTGTGATAAATGTTGACTTTAGCTTAAAGCAGTTTCCTAAGGAATCAACTCCAGACTATGTCTATAAACAGCACTTTGCAGAAATCCAACACAATGATAGGTATTTAATTCCCATTTACACTGACGGTTCTAAATCGGATGATTATGTTGGCTCAGCCTTTGTCTGCCAGGATGAAATTGTGGCAGAGCAAATTTCATCGAATTCATCTATTTTTACTGCAGAGCTGCATGCTATCCACTTAGCCTTAAACTATGTAATCAGAAAAGGTCATTGTCGCTGTGTTATTTACACTGACTCAGTTAGTGCACTTCAGGCTTTGATCTCGTGTGAACCTAGTTCTCACTCTATAGTGATTAAAATTCGTAAATTGTTTAGCCATCTTCTTGCAAGGAATTTCTCTATAAAATTTTGTTGGGTCCCAGGCCATGTTGGTATAAGAGGAAATGAAGAAGCAGATGCAGCTGCAAAATCAGCTAGTCCTCCACAGCACACAATGCGTATTGAAGGAGGTGATTTCAAGCTAGTCATTAAAAAACGACTAGCAGAGAGATGGCAAAATATGTGGAACGCACAAGTCCACAATAAACTGCATGAGATCAAACCTACGATAGAAAATTGGACACACAAGAAATTTTATAACAGGAGATCTGAAGTTATTATTACTCGTTTGAGAATTGGACATACTCGGTTGACTCATCAATACCTTTTGAAGGGTGACGAGCAGCCAGTATGCCAGTATTGCAACTGTCCTCTTACTGTAAAACACATACTGCTCGATTGCTCTGTTTTTGAGACCAGGCGTAGGCAGCATTTTGGAAATGCAAATTTTAAACAGATTCTGGGTCAGAGGCCCAATTTTTATGATATATTAGACTTTTTAAAAGTCAATAATTTGTGTAAAGAAATTTAATTATTTATTTATTTATTTACCTATTTAATTATCTATTTATTTATCTTTTAGCTTTTTGTTTGTTCTTGTTTGTTATTAATATGTATATATTTGTTTTTTTTGTTGCTGTTGTTTATTTATTTATTTATTTGTTTTTGTCATATGTTTGTTATTTGTGATGTTTATAATTATTTACCATTTGTTATGGCGCAGCTTAGCCTATATGGCTCTTGTGCCAAAAAACCAAAACCAACCAACCAACCTCGACCAAATTATAAAATGTGCTTTCTGTTGGGGTTGGCAGAAATTGTCACATTTCTCAGTTTAACTAGCTTGAATCCAGATACAAGAGTTTATATTCTGTTTTTTATAACTTCTTGCATGCTTCTGCAAGCAATAGTTTACAAGAGCAGTACATTTCTTAACAATTGTCTCCGGGATTAAATGTATAACAATTAATGGATGTTTGTATTTTATTAGGACACTGCTGTTGCTTCTACAGTGAGACAGAATGGAATAGATACATTTTGTAGCATATGGCAACGAGGTGGCCACTTCAGTCCATTCATTAACTTTGTGAATGAAATATAGTTATAATTTTACAATGTCTAAGCACACAACTTGTAACAGTTTATCTTTAGCTTAAAAATAAATTAGAAATTTATGGGAAAACATAATTTTTCATTAATATCAAAAAGCAAGCAAAATTTCTAATGTTAAATGGATAATCTTGTTTATAAAGATGATATTTACTGATGTTGCATTAAAAATTAATTTTAGAAGGAACTATAAACATCATTATTTTTTGTCCTTTCACACACCTGGGGAACAAAACTCTTTTTCTCAGTGAAGTTGGCCTCTTTTTAGAGTCTACTCACTCACCATAACATAATAACACATTGGCCAGGACAATAATAATATTTAAGAAGAAACTATAAATTACTTTTTTTATGTCATCCTGGCCAATGTGTAGCCAACCAGTAAATAAGTCTGATAATCTCGGCTGTTGCGCATCTTAGTATTTTCAAGCACAAAGTTTCACTTTGAAAGACTTAAAATTTCAATGTTAAGCATTTCATTGATTTTCTGTTTACAGAAAATGGATGCTACATTTTTAGGCAGTTTTCTTTTATATATACACTGCATGATGGATTATTTCACCCATTCTCAGTCAACATATTGTGTTAATACTCAATTTATAGCATTTATCTTCAGCCAAATGCTTATTTTTGTCCCCAAAAAAGTTTATTTGAATCATTTCATAGCTGGTGCACAAAACAAAATTTATTGACTAGGCTAACTAGGAGTTAAGTTGTGTCCACTGCACCAATTGAAGCTCTATTTGTATAAAGAAAGTGTTTTAACAAACTATTACCAATAAACACACAAACTATGTCATTATTGGCAGGAAACAGAGATAAATAACACAGTTTGTTTAATTTGCCAACTATATTTTACATTTTTCTGTCTGCTATGAATATTTCTGGCTCTACATTTTACCAGATGGCATCTGTTGATGGATTACAAATCACAATATGATTATTGTCATCAGTACTGCCAAATATTTATCGTCATCCATAATTTTTTTCCACTGCTTTTTGGAACGATTTTATGCCCTTGAACTCTCTAACTTTAAGGCAGTAATTTCTTTTAGGTTACTTTAAAACATTCTTAAGAATTAAGCCATGATAGAAAATGAGATTTTCTTGTCTTTGGTTTTCCCACATTGCGCCTTACTTACATAACAAGTTTGCTGCTAAGGATTCATAAAATTTTTCCCTATTTTTGAAGCAGATAAGCAGAGATTATGCAATATATATGACTTTTACAATATTTTAATTAATAAACTAAGAATTAATCTAAATTTTTTGAACATTTGCAGGGAAAAGGACACCGGAAAGTGCATAAACACAAGAAACAGAAAGACAAGGAATTTGATCACTCTGGCAAGAAGGAAAAGAAGAAGAAAAAGAAACAAAAGCAGGAAGCGGGAGGAGAAATGGACAGTTCTTCCGACCTGGACAGACTGGAAGAATTTCTCGGATCTAGCGCCGACCACCCCGGAGGACCAGAGATGTACGAAACCATCTGAAGGCCAAGAGGAAAACGGAGCCGGAAGAGTTGCCTCTTTTGTCTTTGCGAGAGCAATGTTTTTCTTGCTCTCGAGCTCCGGTCGGACAGAGAATCGGTTGCATTTTCCGAAATTTCCAATGACTGATGTTTGCTGTAAAAAGAATTTTTAAAAATTAACTAAAAAGAAAAAAACATTGTGTAATATAATTTCAAATATGTAAACTTAAAAACATTATATGCCATTATTTGTGTAAATAAAACAGTGAATTGGATTGATAAGATGTGCTACTTATGTTTTTAATTAAAAAATAATAATTTCTTTTGCCATTTAATGACAAACTGTTGGTGTACATAAATATTATTTTAAAGTTGTCCTGTTATTCTCGGATGGCAAATGTAAGATTTATATAGTGCTCTTAAGGAAAGAGAAAGTTAAAATATTTAAATATTGTATAATAGATGTTTAATCATTTAAATTTAATAAGAAATGTTCACTAGGGGGAAATTAAAAATTAGTATATAGGTCAATTTCGAGAATATAAATTCATTTTGGACTCTATTGCAATCTGATAAATTTGCATTGTCTTTCATGGGAAATAGCGGCTCATTTGTATAAGTTGCCTTACAATTTCGTCCAGTTTTAAGACAAAAACGAAAAAAAAAAATTTACGATTTCGGGTTTATATTAGTCGAATCCCGAGACGACTTCTGCTAAGATTAAACTGTACTTGGGGGGGAAAAAAAGAAACAACATAGTACTGTTTTATTATGTATAATGTTAGCCCAATTTAAAAACTTTATTCATGTCTGAAATTGTAAAGGAAGAAAATAACTACACCTGCCAATTATTTTGTTGATGTTTTATTGAAAAACTATTTTCAGATTTTAAACTAATCCTTCCACTTTTAAATGTAATTGAAATAAAGATTTATTTACAATTTACTTCTATGATGTTTAAATTAAATCATGTAAATTTTTTCCGGAAAATACAAAAATTACTTTATAAGAACTTTTTCTTTTTTTATACTTATAATCGAACAAATGCAGTTTTAAATAATTTAATATATTTACATCTTTATAACTTTAATTGAAAACATCTACAGTTTTAGAATCTTGGTTAAATTGCTTCAATATATACAAATTACGTGAGGACATTTTCATGTTATTTTAGATAAGCACAGTATGAATCCTTTGCTCTGTATGATCCCTCTTCCTTTAACCATTACTGAATAACGCGTGATCCACTGCATGCCCCAGGATTTGGGATCGATGTCATGCGTCGTTTCCTTAAAAATCTTCAGAATCATGTCGTGAGGAAGAATATCTAAATGAAAATTTCAAATTGGACATTAATAGAAAATTTAAATAAGTAATTATGAAACCAAATGAAACTAACCTTTAGGATCGCTGTGTGTGAGGAGTTGAATGTCATTCTCTTTAGCAAATTGAATCATCTCCGGAGGCATCACGCAACAGGATTCTAGGTTGACTTGATTTACGCTAGGCTTTATCTACCAAAGGACAATTTTTTTCATTACTCAATAGGTAAACAGATACGATTGCCGCAAAATTACACGCTTACTTTCGCCCACTCGTACAGATGACGCAAGAGATTCGTATCCAAATCGCTAAAACCTATCGTGACTAGTTTTTCTTTCATAACCATTTCTTCTAATGCAATCCATAATGGTTGAATCTGACCTAGAGTTATCTGAGTATTTTCGACAGATACTATTAACGAATCTATTAAGTCAACTCCTAGGTGAGACATTGCTAAAAAAATTACATATTAGTGAGCAATGAAATTTCCATTTTATTAAATAAAGTTAGTTCGTATAAGTGAAATACTCACTCCTTTCCACGGCATTGATCAGAAGGTTCGGTTTGCTCTCGGATAAAAATATTTTAACTGGAAGTAAAAACGAAGATATGACAAATTTTTTACAATTAAAGTTATAATAATGGTAAAACCTGGCCGTCCGTACCTGTTAATTTTAAATTTTGCCTATCGTCCTGGTTAATTTTAGTTTTATTTACACATTCGAGCACATTTGTTTTCTGTAAATAAGTACAAGTTGCATTTTATCTAATGTAATTTATGATTATTATATTATAAAATTCACCATTTACATTGGGTGGTGAACAATTCAACCATTCTTTCAGCGTGTAAGCAGAACTTTCCACCAACTGAAAAAGAAATTCTTAAGAAAATTCTGACAAGACATTTATTGTAAATACAAAGATACAAATTATTGTCATAAGCGAGAAATGTTAACAGCGTAATGGTATTACATAGAGGTAATTTCTGAGAAAAACTTGTATGTAGTAAAAACGATAACTAGAGACGTCCTTGAAATGCACATTTTATGGGAACAAATAACTTTTCGGTTAACCTTGAATATGTAAATTAAAATAATTTACAAATGGTATCGGTATTATGTCAAGTTTATAAAGTATAAATTACTTTAAAATTAATAATTTTGACTTGATAAATTACAAAGAAAATTTTATATATACAGCAAACTTCTTTTCTTATATAACTGGGTTTTATATAATATAATAGTAACTGGATATCAGTTAACTTGTTTAAGACTTATTTTTATTATTTTGATAAACAAAAATCACTTATAGAAATTTAAGTTCCTGTATATTGTCCTGTATAGCTAATGTTTTCGTAAATATAGTTATTACATACAGCTGAAACTCTACACTAAATGATGATGCATACAATTATCTATTGTTTACACTTGAATATTAATGCCAGTAATTATTTTTCCTTTTTAAAATTATTCTATAGATAAGAGTAACAAGCAGTTGATACTAAATTTATAATTTTCAAAAAGAATGAGGAAGAGAGATTTAAAACATGTTTAAAGATATTATAATAATACAGAAAAATTAACATTAATCAAGTATAATTTAATGTATTAAAATCAGGTCTTGTGTACATCTAAAATTAAATAATGGCCTAAAACTGATGGAAAACAGAGATGACATCAGCATAATTTTTACTAGATTAAAAGATTAAACTCGAGATATTTTAATTTAAAATGTTTGAGATAATAAAATTTAGATAAATCATCATAATACGGTAATTATCAAACCTAATTAAATGAATGAATATAACGATAAAAATTTNATCAAAAGAGACATTGACTCGAAGAAACTCCCGATGCAGTGCTACCCAATATTTTTATGGAGGGGGATTCCTCTTCCAAGCATTAAGCTCCATAGAAACAAAGGTATGTACAGTGCTACTTTATTAAATAAAATTTACATATTTGTTGCTGTAATGATAGATGCTACATTTTCTTATATTTTCATCAAAGAAAACCCATTTTACAAATAAAATTACAAAAATACTGATGGCTAGAACAGATTAATTGTATTTGCATTAATTTCTATGAGAAAAATTGCTTCAGTTAACGAACAATTCGGTTAACGAATGGACTCATGGAACGGATTATGTTTGTTAACCGGGGTTCCACTGTAATTTATTCAGTTATATTTTAATATTATCATTGCAAGTAAAAGTGTTCTTAAGATTTATCATTTACTTTTTAGATAAGCACTAGTCATCAGAAATATTTCATCAGTAGTTAATTATCAAAGCCTTTGAATATCAGTTGATAGATACATCAGTTACATGTGTGACTGATTAACTATTGATAAATAATTTATTTTGTCAAAAATTTAAATTTATACTTAGAGTTTATTGTGGTTTAGATACAAATACTGTAAACATTAGAAATATCCCATCAATAGTTAAAATATGCTGTAGTTATGAGATGTATCCCATGATAGGTGAATGTGAACTCATTCGAACATTACTCAAGAATGCATTCATTACATGATTAATTGTAGGCAGTCATGTTTTTACTTTGTAATAACTTGAATTGTATTTATCTTTATTTTTTTAAAGTATTGTTTTATTATTTTTTAAATGTAATACTGAAGAGGATTCGCTAAGACAGTGTGATTCCAAACGCATTTACGTGGATTGTTCAAACAGTTCCCAAACTTTTTGAATAGTGCACCTCCAGTTGGTTATTTTTAATCCGCTTGGATGCGTTGTGTCCACGGAAACCTCCCGAGTAACCTCCTTCAATCCATTTGTTGATATCTTGTTTTGGTGATTAGTTATGGCTGTTTATGTGAAGGGGTGTTTGTGGGGTTCGGCAAAAAACTGGATCCATGGAAATGAGCTCTTTGAAGGAGCAGCGTTGTTCTGTGAAATTCTGTGTGAAACTTGGGAAATCCTTCACAGAAACTTCCTACAGTTGGTTGAAACATCCCCCGCCCCAAAAAAGCTGAACAAATTTACTCAAATGTTGATGTGGTGTTGACTGTTTTTTTCAATGCAAAGGGGGTTGTGCATCACAAATACCTACCTACAGGCCAGGCAGTCAACAATAAGTACTACCTGGGGGTTATGAAACACCTAAGAGACAGAATCAGGTGAAAATAGCCCAAACTTTGGAGGAGCGGCAAGTGGTTTTTTCACCACGACAATGTGTTGGCTCATTTGTCCCTCAGAACTCGTGAATTTTTGGCCAAAAACAAGACGCTCTGATTTCCCACTCATCCTACTTACTTGACCTGGCCCCATGCAACTTTTTCCTGTTCCCCAAACTAAAAAACATGCTCAAAGGAAAAAGATTTGCCACCATTCCAGAGATAGAAAAAATATGATGGATGAGCATTTCGGAAAAAGTGTTCCAGGACTGTTTCAAAAACACAAAAACACCATTGGAATAAGTGTGTACGTTGGGGAGGAGACTACAGTAGAGCATCGATTATCTGACTCAATTGAGGACTCAGGTTGGTCGGATAACTGAAAAATCAGATAACCAAAAAGAATGAAAAAAATACATTATTAGTATAGTATATTAGTATGTCGCTATTAACCAACTTCACATTGAATTTTCATCAATGTTAAGCCTAACAAATTCTTTAAAAAAATAATAATCGTTGCTATTGTATCGTTAAAAATTATTTTAAAATTATTTTATTGCTCACAAAACAAACAACCACTCATAATTAGAAAATTAAGTCTCGTTTAAATACTGGCCTCCCTTCAATGGTCGAGCCAGTATTGCCAGCTAAAACATGCAAAAATTTAACAAAAATAATATTAAAGTAGCCAAGACATAGCCAAATATTGTAGTGCCACATCACTAGCAGACATTTGAAATTTGCCGACTAGAATGGCTGGTTAACCGATGTGACGGTTAACCAACCATTCTAGGATAATCAATGCTCTACTGTATTTTGAAGAAGACCCTGACAAATAAATTGTAAGTAAAGTATTTTTTTTGTAATAAATAAAGTTTGGGAACTTTTTGAACAACCCTCATATATTGACGATAAAATTAAAAAAAATGTGTTAAATGCTAGCATGGTTACTTGGTTTGCTGCAGTTGTTACAATTGAAATTCGGAATAATTTATAACAAAATCACTTGGTTTATGAATTAAGAGAGAAATGACAGAATATGTATAATCCGAATCCCAATAAAATAATTAATAGATTTTTGTTGTTTTTATTGTTTTGTCAAATTTCCTTTTTTCTTATTATAATTTATTTAACATTTTGTAACTTTTAAAAATATTTTATATTTTAAAATTTAGAATCTGCAAATTGTTTTTATTGTTTTTTCTTTCTTTTTTCAAATATAATACAAAAACATTTAAAAAAATAATAGAACAGTATATTCATTTCATTATAAATGAAAAGAATTTAAAAACTGGATTCAAGATGATGATAAAATAATTCACATGGTATATATCCAATACAGACCTGAATTTTGAAGATTTTATTATAAACAAATGCAACAACAAAAATTATATTAAATATTGATATTCCAAACCAAACAAAAAGAATTAAATTTAAATTCAGCCAAGCAAAATACAATAATTATTAATGACGATTATGTTAATAAATTATTTGTCTATTAATGTATTGATTATTAAGTAAATTGTATATAATATAATTTTTACAATATTGCAAATAAATTCAAAATTATTTATAAACTCTTGAGCGTATGCTATTCTTCAGGTAAGTAATAAAATAACATAAATACAAAGTGTTTGTTATTTTATTATCATATTTGTAAATTATTTGATTAGTTACTATGATAATAGTTGCTATAGTTAAAGTGTTCAAAGTGACTTGCCTAAAGATTAATATTAAATTATTTAATATAAAATATTTTGAATTATATTGAAAAGTCATTGTAATGATGTTTTAAATAGTGCTAATAGTTACTTTTCAACCTTGTTATATGAGTATGTGTATCAAATTATATATATTAATAATAATGTATTATTATTATATAAATAATAATATTTTAATTCGATATATTAAAACTCAAAACTGGAAAAGATGGCTTTTGTGGCTCTTGGAAAACATAGCCTTAAAACTGAAGATTAATGAACAACTGATCTTTCTTCACCAATGTTGTATTAATAGAATAGTACCTATGAGTGCACAAAGAATTCATTTTCCAGCAAATTGCATCTCTCTCAAGAAGCTACCTCATCCAAGTGCTTAAGCCATCTTATGGTAAAAAAATGTCATGTCATGAAACTAAAAGTATATTACAAAAGACTTGATTCAGATCTTAGGCGGTCTATGCTCAAGAGCTCTGAAGTGATGGTACATTTTAACCAAGCTGAAAGCAATCTTGACTCCTTAAATCATTTCGAGTTTCTAATGTTTAATGAATTACTGTATATGAAATACATTAAAATATAATTTGATACCCATACAATAAAGTTAAAAAAAAATATTCACAGGCGAACAGGTGAAAGGTATTATAATTCCAGGTGGCGCTGTTATCGCGTTAACAGGTGAATGTTTTAAACAAACGTGAAGATGTCGTCTGCTACTCAGTGTTGGTGGAATATTCGGATTTCTCGTAAAATTTAGAATAAATAACGATCAAAACAAGAAATATAGGTAAGTAGACGTAACGTATAATGTTCTATATTAAAATATGAGAGGGAAATTATATAAATTGATGAACTGAACTTGTTGATGTCACTTGAGGAACATCCATGACAATAAAATGTCCAATTTTACATTAAAATATCATTAATTACACAATTTTTAACATTTATAAGTACGTGGCAACAACAAAAACATAAAATGTTATTGAGGATCATCAATTAATAACACATTGATTATGTATTGATTTAATATGAAATCCTCCAGCTTAATTAATGGATTTTATATCAAATTTACACATTTATATACTTTAAAATGACAAAAAAAGAATTATTATAGTTACAGATATTTTTATCCTACATAGTTGACATAAATGGGACATTTTATCTTATCTTTGGAACAAATTAGCAATAGCACCCTATGGGCAAAAAGGTCAATTGCCTGGGGACCCCACTAACAGAGAGCCTCCAAATCAATCTTTCGTAAGAAAATATTCCCCCCTTCCCCAAGTCTGAAGTCAATACTATATAGTGGACCCCCAAATTTAAATTCTCCTGGGCTTAATTATATTACTTTACTTGTGAGACATTCGATTAATTTATAAACTGGACAAAGGTTATATTCATCTTAAAATCTTTAGTTGAATTGTGAATAGAATGAAAACTTCCTTGAGAATTTACATCTGTCTTCTATCTGTACACAGGATACAAGTGGTTATTTATTTCTTGACTAAACACTGAAGTAGGCAATTTACAGATAATCATGTAGTATAAGAATTTCAAGGATTTGCTTGCTTTTTTTTAAATTTTGTTGAAAATAAAAGTCTATTTGTAGTTCAAAAAAGTTTATTTATTATTTTATTATTTATTTATATTTTTTTGTAATTAAGTTGAAAAAAATTATATAATCTTTTACATTTATTTTTATTTCTTTATGTATAACATATCAATATTCCTTAAGGGTTTCAAGTGTAAAAAAAGGATATTATGACATTTGCCTCACAACTGAAACAATGGATTTATTCGCTAAACACATTAATATAGGTTATTATTAATGTTTCTAAGTTCTTAACGAAGAGTTTAATGATTTATCAGTTTATAAGGATTTTTACATGAAGGTATTGTATAGGAATTATATAATTTTGTACGTTTATAGTTCTTTAAAGGGAGGTAATGTACGAAATCATGTTAAATACTTATTAAGTTGTTAGCAACACACTTACTTTTTNATGACTATAATTTTGTAACAATTTTTTGCACGTGTATAATTTAAGATTATTTATAAAGACATTAATATTTTTTTCTGATAATTATGAAAATAATATTTTCTAAATAATCCCAAAGTTTAGAATTCCATTTATTCAGAATAAATTCAAAAGAAAATCATAAGTTGATTGAGAAAGATGAGATTGGGCCCTCCTTAACACAAATTTAGGGCCTCTCGTCTTTCTAAAAGTCATAGAAAATATTTAAATAAAATAAATAAAAGTAGATTTTAGCAATTACAGTAAAACCTGTTCAAAACGGAATCCGAATAAAAAGGAAACCTGTCTAAACGTAAAAGTTTCTTCGGAACGTTAAAAAGAATCTGATCAAAATGGAAACTTGCCAAGATAGAAAAAATATTCGATACCGAGAAATTCCGGTTTACACAGGTTTTCCTGTATCTATAAAATTTTAATTTATATCACTTCTCTTGTTTGATTTTATTTTACGTAAAAACTAAATTTTGGAAGTAACTGGATCAAAAGCCCTTCTTGTCCTGTGTATGAACAGAAGCTTTGAGTATTGCGATATAAAATACTGTAATATATGATATATGTATATACAATAAAACCTGTGTAAAACGGAATCGTACGGTATCGAATATTTTTCCTGGCTTGGCAGGTTACTGTTTTATACAGGTTTTATGTTAAAATAGAAAAACGCTACGTTCAGGTATTTTCCGTTTAAGCAGGTTTACGTTGTAGCCAAGTTCTTTTTTTATACTTATAATCGAACAAATGCAGTTTTAAATAATTTAATATATTTACATCTTTATAACTTTAATTGAAAACATCTACAGTTTTAGAATCTTGGTTAAATTGCTTCAATATATACAAATTACGTGAGGACATTTTCATGTTATTTTAGATAAGCACAGTATGAATCCTTTGCTCTGTATGATCCCTCTTCCTTTAACCATTACTGAATAACGCGTGATCCACTGCATGCCCCAGGATTTGGGATCGATGTCATGCGTCGTTTCCTTAAAAATCTTCAGAATCATGTCGTGAGGAAGAATATCTAAATGAAAATTTCAAATTGGACATTAATAGAAAATTTAAATAAGTAATTATGAAACCAAATGAAACTAACCTTTAGGATCGCTGTGTGTGAGGAGTTGAATGTCATTCTCTTTAGCAAATTGAATCATCTCCGGAGGCATCACGCAACAGGATTCTAGGTTGACTTGATTTACGCTAGGCTTTATCTACCAAAGGACAATTTTTTTCATTACTCAATAGGTAAACAGATACGATTGCCGCAAAATTACACGCTTACTTTCGCCCACTCGTACAGATGACGCAAGAGATTCGTATCCAAATCGCTAAAACCTATCGTGACTAGTTTTTCTTTCATAACCATTTCTTCTAATGCAATCCATAATGGTTGAATCTGACCTAGAGTTATCTGAGTATTTTCGACAGATACTATTAACGAATCTATTAAGTCAACTCCTAGGTGAGACATTGCTAAAAAAATTACATATTAGTGAGCAATGAAATTTCCATTTTATTAAATAAAGTTAGTTCGTATAAGTGAAATACTCACTCCTTTCCACGGCATTGATCAGAAGGTTCGGTTTGCTCTCGGATAAAAATATTTTAACTGGAAGTAAAAACGAAGATATGACAAATTTTTTACAATTAAAGTTATAATAATGGTAAAACCTGGCCGTCCGTACCTGTTAATTTTAAATTTTGCCTATCGTCCTGGTTAATTTTAGTTTTATTTACACATTCGAGCACATTTGTTTTCTGTAAATAAGTACAAGTTGCATTTTATCTAATGTAATTTATGATTATTATATTATAAAATTCACCATTTACATTGGGTGGTGAACAATTCAACCATTCTTTCAGCGTGTAAGCAGAACTTTCCACCAACTGAAAAAGAAATTCTTAAGAAAATTCTGACAAGACATTTATTGTAAATACAAAGATACAAATTATTGTCATAAGCGAGAAATGTTAACAGCGTAATGGTATTACATAGAGGTAATTTCTGAGAAAAACTTGTATGTAGTAAAAACGATAACTAGAGACGTCCTTGAAATGCACATTTTATGGGAACAAATAACTTTTCGGTTAACCTTGAATATGTAAATTAAAATAATTTACAAATGGTATCGGTATTATGTCAAGTTTATAAAGTATAAATTACTTTAAAATTAATAATTTTGACTTGATAAATTACAAAGAAAATTTTATATATACAGCAAACTTCTTTTCTTATATAACTGGGTTTTATATAATATAATAGTAACTGGATATCAGTTAACTTGTTTAAGACTTATTTTTATTATTTTGATAAACAAAAATCACTTATAGAAATTTAAGTTCCTGTATATTGTCCTGTATAGCTAATGTTTTCGTAAATATAGTTATTACATACAGCTGAAACTCTACACTAAATGATGATGCATACAATTATCTATTGTTTACACTTGAATATTAATGCCAGTAATTATTTTTCCTTTTTAAAATTATTCTATAGATAAGAGTAACAAGCAGTTGATACTAAATTTATAATTTTCAAAAAGAATGAGGAAGAGAGATTTAAAACATGTTTAAAGATATTATAATAATACAGAAAAATTAACATTAATCAAGTATAATTTAATGTATTAAAATCAGGTCTTGTGTACATCTAAAATTAAATAATGGCCTAAAACTGATGGAAAACAGAGATGACATCAGCATAATTTTTACTAGATTAAAAGATTAAACTCGAGATATTTTAATTTAAAATGTTTGAGATAATAAAATTTAGATAAATCATCATAATACGGTAATTATCAAACCTAATTAAATGAATGAATATAACGATAAAAATTTAAAAAGCAGATGCATTTAGATGCATCGAAATTTAAAAGTATTCAAAAATATTTTGTCATAAGAATCTTATTAAACATCATTTCATTTGATATAATTCCAAATTAACATTTGACACTGTTTTTAAAGGTATAAAACAATTTTTAATTAAGCAGAATCAATTTTACATCATTATAAACCATCATCATAATTATAGAAGCGTTATTTTTGAGATTTTAACACATTAAATTCTCAAACCACTTTCAAACACACCATACAATCACTTTAAATCAGCATCATATACACACTTCTATTATTTATAATAAATGTCCTGGTAATAAAAAGTGTAACTCCCTGAACTAAACAGTTTAATTTCTATGTACTGCAATAAACGTGTCTATATGAAGAAATAACCACTTTTCTTGGATTAAAATTTAATTAGAAATAGGCTTTAGCGGTCAGTTTTAAATAAACATTGCTCCGAATCAAAGCAAAGATTAAAAATTTTCAGTTTGTGTAGACTTCTATCCCTAAATATGGTCCCCAGAAATGATTGTAGTTTATAGTTTCTTTCCTAACATATGTAACACTTTAAATTAAATTTAGTTCAGTGCCAAACCAAGTGTGGCACTAAACTAAAGTATCTCCAGTACAGTAACGAAATAGGTATAAGTTTGTAAGTTACATGTTTGATAAAAATGTCATTTACATTTGTACATTTATTAATTCATGGATACTAAAAAGATTCGAATATTTATGGAGAAGATCTATTCACGAGCATTCATTGATACTTTACGAGGACAGTAGTATTTAGGTGAGCACAAATCAAGGTTTAACATTGATATATGCTAAGCTTCTGAATTGAAACTAAGTACATTATTGAACTTTTCACTATTAAATAAAGATTTAATGATAAGAATTTGTCTAACAATGAAAAAATTCGGTACAGGTCAATACAAATACTAGCGTGTGGTAAATAAGTAATTATGAAATATATAAATATTATATTTCAACATTAGTCTGTATAAATTTTTAAATGTATGATTTCAAATTAGATGAGTAATTTAATAATAAAGTTGAGTAATGATAAAATTTGATAACGAATGTTGTCACGATCATCATTATATATAAATTGTTTGTATCAGGAGCGTGCACATTTCCTAGAAAATTTTCTGTGATGTTCGAATAAAAATTTGTATTTAATTTTATGTTTTTTCACAATTATATTATAGAATTCAGACATGATTGAGAATGTAAGATTACATATCTCAATCACTTTTAAAGATTATAACTTGTGGAATTTTTACTTGATTCCAGAGGAGGACAAGTGTCGCAATTTGCACCCCTCTGCAGACGTACTTGGTTTGCGCATATTTTATCACAAACATTATATAATTGATAAATTAATTCCATAGGCATTATTTCTGAAAATTTTAGTAATTAAAACACCAATAAATTTATAAATAACCAAAAATCAAAATGATATGAAGAACGATATTCAAATTTAAAACCTGGTTAATTTCCTTGCTGTTGTAACGTTTTCACAGTGTTTATTTTGTGGTATTATATATGGCAGTTCGGTATGCTTAGGGTTTCCTTTAAGAAAAACAAACACCCGCACAGTTAACGAGATAAAATACAAGTGTCGAAGCCATATTCATCTTTTAATATTACAGAATTAAAATTAATTTTTAAAACAGTCTTTCCTATTCTTAATATACTAACATCCCTATTTACCTAACAAACTTAATTAAAATATCCATTTTTAATTCTAATCGTTAAATTTGTTTCAAATTGAAAACTTAAATATGTATATTTTTAATATTTTTCAAGAAATTAGGACAGAAATGTATCAGAAATACTCATAAAATTAAATTAATTGTTGCATACAAGACGTATTAATTAAATCTGATTAACATATACAACTTTCGAAGATATAATGATAATAATAAGCTTAAATTATCGCCAAGTGTGGAGACGTGGAAATAATTTTTTCACTTTTATCTACAGGGAGGAAAAGTAAAGTTGCAAAACAAGGAAAAAAAAACAGAACAACTTGTACATCATTACGTAAAGACTGTACATTTCCTGTTCTATAAATTTTATATGTTTCGCGTATTATATGTATTTTATATGTAATAAATATGTTTCGCGTTACTTCATATCGCTAAAATCAAATTAAAATAGAATAATATAATTGAAAAATTTCAATTCCATTTTTTAATAATTGAAAGAATTTTAATAAGTTTCATTTAATCACAGATGTTTAAGAAAATTGTATATTTTTATTATTCTACAGAAATAAAAATTGTAATTTAAACAAAATTTTTTTCTACAGACATGAATTTTATTTGAAACAATTTCATAAAACTATAATATACTATACAGTAAGCATAACTACAGGTAAACTTTAATACTAATATATTTGTTACTTCTCTTTTCTTCAAAATAATACATGGCAGAATCTCACTGGTTCTGGGAAAATGTCATAAGCCAGCCTATTTCCCAGAAGTGTGCAGTCATAAGAATGAACTAGCCACTATAATTACTCAGCTGAATTAATCAATGCACCTACATTTACAGTTTAAATAATCATGTTTTTTTTTTATCGATCCGGTTAAAGAGCCATCTTCAGGTGCGAACAGTTGAAAGTGGAATGCCAGCGTCAGAAATAAGACGGGACAGACCCCAATAGTTATTGTTCTTTGTTAAGTTATGGCAACGCAACATTTGGGCGATCTGCCTTCCAGGGGTCTTTTTAAGGGAAACTGGCCCCTATTTAGACATTACAGACGTGAGAAAACCCGGAAAACTCCACGTGGCCAGCCCGTTTGAGCGAGGCGTGAGCCCGCAACCGAACTCCCAGCATTCGGGGTACGAAGACCGCTTGGCCACTGGCGGGCCGCGAATTACTTAGGCTAATACACCTTTTAACATTGGAATTTTAAAACCACAATAGTATAGCCATACCCAAATGCTTTCCTTTGGTTTGCACGTAGCTCCGGGATCATCGGTCTCTCACACTTTTAATAAAAGATAATAATAATAAAATTGATAAAGTCGTAAAGCGAGGGATTGTATAGGATTGGTCGTAAAGCGAGGGATTGTATAGGGTTGGTCGTAAAGCGGGGCATAATACATATGAATATATAATTGCATATAAATTTAAATATACAATAAGATATTGTTGTTTAATTTATTAATATTACATTATAATATATTAACACACAAAATAATATTTTTATAATGTTAAATAGGAAAAGAATTAAACTGTATTATAATATTCTAAGCATGTGTTGCCATGACAACTGTTAATTTAAAAGCCGAAACCACTTACGTATTTACCTCATCTGTTGGAGTTTGAGTTGTTTTTCTTTGTAAGTCTTTTAAAGTCATAATGTTACCTGTATCGATAATTAAATATTGAATTCCTTCCATTATAAAATACTTTCGGCGATCGGGGAAAATAAAAAAAAGAACTTATCTATGACGAAACCAGCGCGAACTGACGATAAAAAAAAACAACCAATCGGCGACACCAGAGGGCTATATAATAAATACGTTCAGCAGCGCACCCTTTTGAAATGTAAAATAAACGGATATAATAATATATTAAATATTATTTATAATAATGAATTAAATATTTATTTTATTAATATTGATAATTATATTTTACTTATTAATAAATGGTAAAACCTCTACAAAACGAAACCTGGATAAAATGAAAAATTTTCTATGTTAAAAAAAAATAATAATAAATCTGTTCGAAACGGAAACCTGCCAAAACCGGAAAAATATTCGGTACCGATTTAAACAGGTTTTACTATAAATTAAATTTTATATACTGCTAGAATTTTGAGTTTTAACGGGCTTTAAATCGAGCTTTTAAAATTTTCTCCCATATATTTCTATATATATTTATCAATTACTAGATGATGACACGATAAAAGGATCAATTTACTACTCTGGAGAATCCGGACTTGAGTTCGGAAAAGAGGAATAAGAAAATTTCACAAATAATCTAAAAGAAAAATGCCGGGTTCCATCTTGTTTAATCATTCCCATTACGGACTTGTCCGAATCCATAATGGCATGAACTAAAGTTCTCTTAGTGCCTTCAAGACCGAAAAGTTAAGGAATGGCATATATGTCGATGAATTTTGCATATTTCGTACGAATAAATACAACACGAACTTAATTAATAATGCTTTTTTTTGTTAGATGGCCGGATGGCCGAAGCGGTCAAGGCATCATCAGCCTACTACTCGAATCCAGGCACTCTAGGCCTAGATAACAAGGCCATTTCGCTGACTCGTAACGTTATAAATAAAAAATGGAGCGTTTTTGTGAAACTTTATTGAATTTCTTTCACCGTATAAATCTCTAAAGTAGTTAAAGAGATGCCCCTTTTTTTCTGTAAGAAATCTTGCGCTTCCTCTGTGTTGACCTCTAGCTGTTTAATTGTTGACTATTTCAGCCCTACGGGCACTAAGAGAGCTAATCATACTTATTATATGTTTGGCCAAGTCCACAGTCGGGTGACCAGATGATGAGGGACGGAGCATTACATATTCGGGGAGAGTCTGTCCCCCGGATATGCTCATGAATAAATTCCAGTAGGTCTCCTCCTGGATTCGATTTCGAGTCTCCCAGAGCGGTTGGTTGATCTTTAACCAACGTCACTGACCTATAGCTTTATTCTAGTAAAGTTAAAATAAAAATAAAAAAAGAAAAAAAAGCTAAATGAAATCAAATTTTAATGATGAAATGACTACTTTGTAGCCATAATTATAATACTGTAATGGCTTTTCTACGCGCCTCCCTGGAAAGGATTTGGAGACCCATTAAGGAGGCGCGCCTCACAGTTTGAAAACCATTTCCTTACGCATAATTTTCACATAATATATATTTAATTAAGTTAACTTTTGTGCAGAAATATTTTATTTTATATATATATATA